CATAGCTCTGGTATTGAATATTCAAAGGGATCCATATTATTCCAAGCATCTTTGCTGGCTGGTAAACAGCAACAATTAGTATTTAAGAATAACAACCATTTATTACATCTCACCTTTTTTTTTTCATCACCAAAGTTTTATTGGACAGCTTTGCTCTAAAATGCCTCAATTTCATTCCATCCCTCAACTTTTTTTTTTAAAATTTACATTACTTTATTTATTTATTTTTTAAAAATTATTCATTTATTTGCATGTGCATACATTGTTTGGTTCATTTTTCCCCCTGTCCCTCCCCCCTACTTCCAGGCAGAACCTGTTCTGTGCTTTTCTCCAGTTCCGTTGAAGAGTAGAAATAAACATTAATAAAAAAGAATCTCTCTGTATAGCTGTCCTCCTCTCACCCTTTTGTGGGTTAGGAATTTGGTCAGTGCTTACCTGGGCAATTCTTCTGTTCCATGTAGTAGTCAATTGATGGATGGCTGATCAGGAGGTCTAGGAAAGCTTCACTTGTGTGGGAGAGTTGGTAGACTCCTGGCTTGCATGGATCTGCAGTTAAGAGCATCCATGTGTAGCCTTCTTAGCATTGTTAGTCTGAGTGTTGTTGGAGTTCTTGGTGACCCAGGGATCCCACAGACAGGAGCTGCAGGTTTCTTACAATCTTATCTTGGGAGATCTAGAATATCTTTCATTGCATTCTACAGGTCAAGCAAGGCACTAAGATTAGCCCTCATTTGATGGGTTCTTACTGAAAGGGTTAAAAAAGATTTGAAGCCATTTCTAAACTAGCACATCATTTTGAGAAAAATAGTCTCAATACTCTCAAATGTGGCCTAGAGTCAGATCATATCATTGTATTGCTATATGTATGGACTGCCTTTCTTTGTGATGCACGTCATAATGCTTTTATTGAATTGTGACTTGGATCTGTGTCATTACTAAAAACTATTATCCATCATTCTGTTTGATCTTCAAGGTAGTTATAAAGAGCTTTGAACTATTGTGCAGTGACTGTTCTATGGAGCCACTGGAAAAAAATCTTTTGTGTTCTTAGTACCTGGAATAGTCACTATTGTTTTTCACATTTATGAAGTCCAATCCTACAGTTTTTTTAAATTCATTTATTCACATGTGCATACATTGTTTGGGTCATTTCTCCACCCTGTCCCCCTCCCCTACCCTCTCCTTCCTCCCTCATCTTCTCTCCCCTTCCCACTCTCAGTTCCAGGCAGGTCCTGTTCTGCCCTTATCACTAATTTTGTTGAAGAAAAGACACAAGCATAATAAGGAAGACAAAGCATTTTTGCTAGTTGAGTTAAGGATAGCTATACAAAGAGATTCATAACATTGCTTTCGTGTACCCGTGTGTTACTATCCATGTTGATTCATCTCTAACTGATCTTTACACTGGTCCCTGATCCTCTTGTCATGTTAACCTCTGTCACTTTAAGGTTTCTGTATTAGTTCCTCTGGAGTTGGGAGTGGGGACATCAAATGCTTTCATGTTTTGGGTTTTCTACCTATTTCCATATCTCCTGTATGTACTCTCCCCTTGTCATGTGATCCAGGCCCAACCAGATTGCTGCATTTGCCCTAGATCTAAAGTCCACATATGAGGGAGAACATATGATTTTTGGTCTTCTGAGCCTGGCTGACCTTGCTCAGAATGATGTTCTCCAGTTCCATCCATTTACCTGCAAATGATAAGATTTCATTCTTCTTCATGGCTGCATAAAATTCCATTGTGTACAAGTACCACATTTTCTTGATCCATTCATCAATAGTGGGGCATCTTGGTTGTTTCCATAACTTGGCTATTGTGAATAGTGCTGCAATAAATGTGGGTGTGCAGGTGCCTCTGGAGTAACCTGTGTTGCATTCCTTTGGGTACATCCCCAGGAGTGGGATTGCTGGAACATATGGCAGGTCTATGTTTAGATTTTTAAGAAGTCTCCAAATTTTTTCCAGAGTGGTTGCGCCAGCTTGCATTCCCACCAGCAGTGGACTAGGGTTCCTTTTACCCACATCCTCACCAACACATGTTGTTGGTGGTGTTTTTGACGATGGCTATTCTAACAGGGGCGAAGTGGAATCTTAGTGAGGTTTTGATTTGCATTTCCTTTATGGCTGGAGATGGTGAGCATTTTTTCATGTGTTTTTTGGCCATTTGAATTTCTTCTTTTGAGAAAGTTCTGTTTAGTTCACTTGCCCATTTCTTAATTGGTTCATTGATTTTAGGAGAGTTTAGTTTCTTAAGTTCCCTGTATATTCTGATTATCAGTCCCTTGTCTGATGTATAGCTGGCAAATATTTTCTCCCACTCTGTTGGTAGTCTCTTCAGTTTAGAGACCATTTCTTTTGTTGTGCAGAAGATTTTTAATTTTATGAAGTTCCATTTATTCATCCTTTCTCTTAGTTGCTGGGCTGCTGGGGTTCCACTGAGGAAGTCTTTGCCTATACCTATTAGTTCCAGAGTGTTTCCTGCTCCTTCCTGTAGTAACTTCAGAGTTTTAGGTCTGATATTTAGGTCCTTGATCCATTTTGAGTTGATACTTGTACAGGGTGATGTACATGGATCTAGTTTCAGTTTCTTGCAGACGGGTAACTACTTTTCCCAGCAACATTTGTTGAAGAGGTTGTCTTTTGTCCACCACACATTTTTGGGACCTTTGTCAAAAATGAGGTGAGTATAGTTGTCTGGATTCATACCCGGGTCTTCTATTCTATTCCACTGGTCTTCATGTCTGTTTTTGTGCCAGTACCATGTTGTTTTTATTCCTATTGCTTTGTAATGTAGTTTGAAGTCAGGTGTTGTGATACCTCCAGCATTGCTCTTTTTGCTGGGTATTGCCTTGGCTATTCGTGGTCTCTTGTGTCTCCAAATGAACTTTAGGGTAGATTTTTCAATCTCTGTGATGAAAATCATTGGGATTTTGATAGGAGTTGCATTAAAAGTGTAGATTGCTTTTGGTAGTATAGCCATTTTACTATGTTGATTTTACCAATCCATGAGCATGGGAGATCTTTCCATCTTCTGTAATCTTCCTCGCTCTCTTTCTCCAGGAGTTTGTAATTCTCCTTGTAGAGGTCATTTACATCGTTTGTTAAATTTACTCCTAGGTATTTGATTTTTTTTGAGGCTATTGTGAATGGAATTGTTTCTATATATTCCTTCTCAGTTTGTTCATTGTTGGTATGTAGAAAAGCTAATGATTTTGTAAGTTGATTTTGTATCCTGCCACCTTACTGTAGCTGTTTATGGTGTCTAAGAGTTTTTGGGTAGAGTTTTTTAGGTCTTTAAGGTATAGGATCATATTGTCTGCAAATAAAGATATTTTGACAATTTCTTTACCCTATTTGTATTCCTTTTATTTCTTCTTCTTGCCTAATTGCTCTGGCTAGAAATTCCAGTACTATGTTGAATAGGAGTGGGGATAGTGTGTACCCTTGTCTCGTTCCTGGTAATCCTACAGTTTTGATTTGTATTTTAGTTTTGCCTTTACTGTAAGAAATCCTTGTTCAACACATATTCATTTTTTCCTAATTTTCATACATTCATTGTTACTTTCTAAATTTGGTTGTTAATGTTTAGCATATACAGGCAGAAGGATGAAGACAGGTGAACTCAGTGTAAATGAATCTACAACATGAAAATACAAAATGCTCATATAAAGTGATAGCATAAATGCTCCATTCTACTAAGGGAGGTAGCTAGTACAGATGTTAGTGCTAATCTTAGTTCCCTCAGTTACTGGATGGATGATAACTTGGGCAATTACTGAATCCTCTAATAATCCAATTCCTTTATTTATATGTGCATACAATGTTTGGGTCATTTCTCCCCCCTTCCCCCTGTCTCCTCCCTTACCCCCTAATAATCTAATTCTTACATGAAATGGAGAATCATAAGAGTATTCATATCATGGGATTGTTTGAGCATTAAATAAATTGGTATACATAAATAAACCTAGTATATTGCCTACATCTTGGAAGCCTTCTACAAATGTTTGTTACAACAATTACCTTGAACTTTTTTTGTGGTTCTGGGGATCAAATCCAAGGTTCTGTACCTACTAGGCAAGTGCTGTACCACGGAGCCACATCTCCAGTCCTTGAACTCTATATTTAATGTCTTATTGTCCTTGACAATGAATGTATTTGTAGCTTGTGTTCCCAACTGGAATATATCCTTTTGTAAGACAAGAGACTATTCTATTTTTATTTTTATCCGAGGAACCTAACATGACATGTGTATGTCCATGGTAGGTATGCTTGTACTATTTCCTATTCAATGGTTGGAAAACTTTTTATAGGAATAACCTTGAAGTACAGGAACAAAAAAAATCATCTATAATCACAAAGAAGAAAGCAATTCACTCATTCTTTTTATAGTATTTTGAAAAAGTCATATAAAACTTATAAACATTTTACAGTAAAAAATAATAGTAAAGTTATTAGGAAAGGAAAAAAGTGGGGAGAATGGAAAAAAGGGAGAAACTTTTCCTGCTCCCCATGCAAGAAATGGGAGTAAAGACTGAGATTTTTAGTTTATGGAAAAAATGCATAAATGCATATTTACCATATGCATGATAAGACTATATTTCAGTTTCACATTATATATACTTAGGAGTAATTAAAAAGGAAGAAAGAAGCTTAAAAGAGATAAGTGGGGGGAAAACAGAAGAAAAATAGGCAGAAGAAAAAGGAAAAGAACCAGTAAATTAGAAATGAAATAATTCAGCAAGCACTGTGTGAACACTGAGTCATTTAAATAGTTCTTGGAAACACATGGCCTCTTAGAATAACATTTTCAGATAGACTTTACTTGTCAATGTATTGTTTTAGGGACAATGACCACATGGGAGGTGAGATGTTTTAGGGTAGGGGTTTTTTGAGGTTCTCAAATCTACTTACTGCTTGGTTACTAATTCCTTAACTGGAAGGTGCTCAGAACACACAGTAGACTTGCTCAGAATCAGTGCAGATTGCCACATCTCAGATCTTCACCTTCTGCAGAGCCTACAGATCCTTCCCAGGAGCCTTCCAAGAGCTCCCGTGACATCTTTATTCCTCAGGGTGTAGATGAAGGGATTCAGTGTGGGGGTAATTATGGAATAGAAGAGGGAGATAAACTTGCCTTGCTCTTGGGAATAGCTGGAAGGGGGCTGCAGGTACATGTAGATGGCAGGTAGGTAGAAGAGGGAGACCACCACCAGGTGGGAAGAACAAGTCCCAAATGCCTTGTGCCTTCCTTTGGAGGACTGGATCCTGAGCACGGCATGAACAATTAAGCCATAGGAGAGAAGGATGAAAGCTAGGGGAACAACCACAAAGAAGGCCACCAGCACAGCCAGCGTGGTATCATTCACAGCGGTGTCAGCACATGACAGCTTGATCATGGCTGGCACCTCACAGAAGAAGTTGTTCAGCACTTGTTGCCCACAGAAAGGCAATTGTACTGTCAGCACTACTTGCACAAGGGCGTTACCAAAGCCACTGAGCCAGGCCACAGCTACCAGCTGCTTGCAGAGAGGGCGGTGCATGATAGTGGCATACCGCAGGGGCTCACCAGATGGCCACATAGCGGTCCAGGGCCATAGCAGCCAAGACAATGCATTCAGTACATCCCAACCAGTGGAAAATTGCATACTGCACTGTGCAGCCACCATAGCTGATGGTCTTCTTGGAGCTTCCCATGTTGACCAGCATCTGAGGGATAGTGGTGGTGGTATAGCAGAGGTCCAGGAAGGACAGGTGGCTAAGGAAGATGTACATAGGGCTCTGGAGTTGGGGATCCAGCCAGGACACCAGGATGATAGAAATGTTTCCCAACATGGCCAGAATGTAGGACACTAGAAGGACCATAAAGAGAGGGAACTCTAGCCATGGCTTGTCAGAAATACCCAGAAGGATGAAGTCTTTAGGGGGGTCTCCAAAAGAGCTCTGGTTGTCACTTCTCATGCTGAGGCATCTTCTGGTAGCTGTGATGAATCAAGAAAGTTTAAATAAATAACTCCTGAGAGAAACAGTTGATCATTTTCTTATTCCTGTGCCTTCTTTTACTCAGGTTGCACCATGCCTGACTTTTCTTACCTCTGTAGAGACAACAGGATGCAGAGGAGTCAACAGCAGAAGTCAGAACAGTAGCATGTGTATTTTCAGCCTTCCTCTTACTCTGTGAGCTTAACTAAGCCATTTAAAACCTCAATTCTTGCATCTGTTAAAATGAAGAGAAAGTACTTGCTTCAATTTCAGTATCTTGGGGATGATAAAGGACTCTATATGATGCATACTATATAAATGCCAATTTTATTCAAACTTGGTAAAGCCCACCACAGTTTCCACCACCATTAGAATGTTTGACTTCTCTCTATAAACATATTGACAGGGAATTGCCCTCTTTCTTAGGTTTTCATATTTTGTATTTTGTACGTAGTGGTGGGAGAGAGGAGGGATGTGACTTAAAGCAAGAAGGGCTTTGTAAGCAGTGAGGAGTTTTTTTGATATGAGTGTGCTGCTCTCACCTCTGAAGGCTGACATCTGACTCTGTCACTGTTAGGAGGTGCTCCTTGGACCACATGAACTCTCTCTTCATGAGTTTGAACACACAGACAAGTCTATCACTTATGTTGGTAGTAAAAATACAACAATTCCAGATTCTCTGAGAACCTGGAGAAGCCAGGACATATGTCACTTCAGCTCCTGACTTAGTTATGACCCATAATGAGGCACCAGAGCATAGAATTATGAAATTCTATGGAATTTCTTCTATGGAAGAAAGCTGTTTGTCAGTGTAACAAACAGCCCTTGGTGTTTAATGAAAGATGAGACAGTCTAGATTTGGTTATGTTAATGTTTAGTATATACAAGACAGAAGGATGAAAACAAGTAAACTTAGTGTAAATTAATCTACAACATGAAAATACAAAATGCAAAAATAAAGTGTTAGCATAAGAGGTCCAGTCCACTAAAGGAGGTAACAATAGACTGTGCTAGTGTTAGTGCTAATATTTATCTCACACTTGGAATGACATTTGAATTCCAGATGCAACTTCTTTGGTAGGCAGCTGTCATCTCAGTCATGAAAAATAATTTCTGGGTGCCATAGCTATCAAGAAACAAGTGGGGTTCCTTCTGTTGATTTGTGGAACCTTTCCACAGAGCTCCTTTGGCCTCCATCTTCCTATTCTTTCCCAAGTATTGTACACCTTCAAGTTCACACTCCATGAGAAAACCACAAGTAAATCCTATATGCAGGTAATTTGTGGAGAATTTGCTTTAATTATTGGTTTGGTGCTTTCTGCATAGATTGTAAAATTAATGGAGATCTATTCAGCTCAGATATTACAACAAGCATTGGCCCAGTAGATATCCTAAAGAACTGCTGTTATTTGAAAATACCTCAAACCCTACAGTTTAAATGGATAAATTCAAATTTCCTTTTCTCCTTCCGTAGTGTCAAAAGTGCATAGTTTGCCATAATGTTCCCTTATGTCTTAATGTCTTATGAAACAATTATTGCAGTTTTTCCTACTATTCTATCAAAATACTTTCAGGGATTAGCTTCATAGAATAAGATTTTATCTCTAATTACTCAAGCTTGTTTTAACACAGTAAGCTGTGACAGGGCAAAGTCAGGTTTAGCATATTTTTAAAGTCCACTTTTTATGGTTCAAACTTGGGACCGTGGTGTACATTCCTGGTGATGGTGGTGGTAGCAGGATCATGATCCTCACAAGTGTCCTTGGTGGCCACCATAGGGTGGGACAGCTGGGGCTGGCTGGTATTGCTGACTCTGCAGACTTTCAGCAAGTCTGAGCTCCTATCCTCAGCATCTGGCATTGCCCACTGGCTCTTCCCTGGGACCTGATTTAGAAGGTCATTGTTTTGTTTTGTTTTCATTTACACATATTGATTGCATATAGCAGTGTAATATTTCATACATGCACATACATAGTGGTGTACATAGCAATGTAATATTTCATACATGCATAAGTGTGGACTGATCAAATTCAACACCCCTTTTCCACCCTTCCCCCCACACACCCTTCTCCAGTCCTTAGACTATTCTACTTCCAGGTGGACCTTTTTTAATTTCAATATATGATAGAAAATATACAGTTCTTTACTTTCTGTGTCTGGCTTATTTCATTGACCATAATGACCTCTAGTTCCACCCATTTTGTTACAAATTACAGGATTTCATTTTTCTTTATGGTAGAACAATGCTCCATTGTGTACATGCACCATGTTTTCTTTATCCATTCATCTGTTAATGGGCATGTATGCGATTCTGTATCTTAGTTATTGTGAATACTACCACAATAAACATTAAATGTTTGTGTATCTTTTGTATGCTGATTTAATTTCCTTTGGATAGATACCCAGGAGTCAGAAAGCTGGATATTCAGCTAGTTCTATTTTTAGTTTTTTGAGGAACTTTCATTTCTGTGCTAACTTGCATGGACACCAACAGTGTATAAGAGTTCCTTGTCCTCCACATCCTTGCCAGTATTTTTTTGTTTTTTTGATAATAGCCATGCTAACTGGAGTGATAATACCTAGCAGTTTTGGTTTGCAATTCTCTGAAAAAAAATTGTAGTTCGATGTACCATATGCAATATACACAGACACACAGGCACACACAGACACAGACACACACACACATACACATACACACACACACACACACACACACACATACACACACACACACCAAGACAGAGTAAGCGTGAGAGAGAAAGGAAAAGAGAGAGAGAGCTTTTGAACCTCAAAGACTGATACTGTCCACCTCTGACCCTTCAGGCTTTACATCTGATGTCCTGCTATCTATCCTTTTACTCAAAGTTCTGCTTAAAGTTGGGCCTCTGCACTCCCATGACCTTCTTGTGCCCTTCCAGTACTTAAATAGAGGTGTTTGTAAAGGTGCAGGCTTCCTTCCCTGGGTTGAATGTGGTAATTTCCATGTCTACCACCATTATATTCAAGCAGAGTCCTTGCAGACCTGTGTCTCCAACTGTCACCTTGGCAATATGCTTCCAACCCTTTCTTGACACTGTGAACTGATGCATCCCAAACTTGACCTGTCAGGCACACTCCCAACCTCAAAACAGCTCTTTCCTCATTGTCATGGTTGACTTCCGCTCAGTCACCATGACTCAAAGTGGTAAGATTTTTTCTAATAATGTTCTACTCCTCATCTGCTCATTCCAGTAGTGACCTTGAGCTACTGGTTCCATCTGCGTGAGGCCAGCATGTGCTGTCTGTATTTTGCTCACAGCTGTCCTGTGAAGGTACACCTGTCTGAATCTCTTAGACCTTGCTAACTATCACTCTGCAGTCAGCCCTTCCTTACCCAACCCAGCATTCCCACTCACAATGTAGGCATCTTTCTAACACTCAGGTAAGAGCAAAATACCTTTAAGTCTTTCATTTACCTAAAAAGTGAAAGCTCATCTCTTTAAATAGTTCTGTGGAAAGTAGGGGTTGTATCCTTCTCCCACCGAATCCCCTGCAGTTCTGGTTATTGTCTCATCACTCTCCCTTAACAGCCACCATAGGTTTTTGGAGCCATACCTATGGGAGGCTGGGTTGTGTACACATTGATATACTCTTGTGATGTACCATCCCCTGGGATGGTTGATCCATATCTCTATCATCTACTACTACTATATCTATCTACTTATTTATTTCTTAAACTTGACATCTGATGTTGAAATCTCTTTGGGGCTTGATAGAATATGCCACCAACTCCACCATACAAGAGGGAAAATCAAACTTGGCAGTATGTAGAATTTCTGGAAAACAGCTTGTGAGATGGGCAGATAGGAACTCAGCTGTGGGAGTTTATTGCTTATTAGACCAAGCAATCTCTTTCTTTAATTTAAAATTCAGCTTAAAATTTCCCCCGCCTGGGCATCCAAGTGGAGCCCCTCACCTGCCAAGGCTGTACCTAGGATTACATCTCAGTAGACTGAGCCCTGGGAGGAGGCTTACAGATACCACCATTTTCCATGACTGATATCAACAAGTGCTTTCTCATTGCAAGAAGACTACAGGACTGTGTTTGCAGCCCTGGTTCAATGGCATGATTTCCCTGAGACAGAAGTTCTGATTAGAATAAAATCAAGACATTAACTGACAAAATGAGGAATAGTGTTAAAAGCGCAGTCTTGCATTCTCTGCTAAGTAAAGCAAAAACTTTTATCCTACAACTTTAGTCTCTACCCATAATATTATTTGAAAACAGATATCGCAAAAACTGAATTCAAGCCACACTATCCCATAGTGCAGATATTTGTTTACCCAGAGCCAAGGACTAACTACTTTGATGTTTCCCTGGCTTCTAAAGAGAACTCAGCTGAGGACTGGAGAATTGACTGCAGCCTGTAGTGGTCCCCACTGGGGAAGAGTGTTTATTAATGCAGTCATGCAAATATGGGATGCAAGGCAGGAAGATACCACCTGGCTCTAATGAGGCTGCTGGGACCTTACCTTTACCTGTACATGGCCTTCAGCAGGTGTAGAGAGATCATTCTAGAAGTCAAGTTGGTCTTTCCTCACTGCCGACTTACTGGGGAGACTCAAGGCTTTCTGGGCTTTCCTCAGGCAACAGGGCTGCATATTTGCTCTTTCCTTGTGCTGTAGACATTTTGATATGGTGGAGTGAGCTGATAAACTTATATAGTGTAGCTTACTTCTGAGAAGAAAGTATTTAGGCAACAAACTGTCTCATATCATGCTTCCTGCTCATTTAAAAATTATGCCTCATGTTAAATTGACCTCATTCTTTCCACTTGTTTTCTAGGAGGACTCTGCTCTTTTCCCCCCAGACACTGGGTAAAAGCTTGTTCTCATCTGGCTGGGATGCTATCCCTGATGTTTTATTTAACAAGTGTCCAAGGGGTTGGCTGGTAATTGAGGCACTGTGTAAGCCTGGAGTACTTGCAATTAATGATACA